ACATACTTCAACATAATAAATGTCATATATGACATGCCCACAGCTAACATCATACTTGGTGGTATAAAACTAAAAGAAATAAAACTTCCTGTCTGCAGATGACATGATATAATACAAAACCCTAAGGCTCCACCAAAGAACTGTTATAGAGTTAAAAAATCAATTCAGTAAACTTGTAGGATACAAAATCAATGTACAAAGACCTGTTGCATTTCTATACACTAACACCAAACTATCAGAGAAATTAAGGAAATTTCATTTACAAGTGTATAAAAAACAATAAAGTACCTAGGAATTTAACCAAGAGGATGAAAATATCTACGTACTGAAATCTGTAAGACATTTATGAAAGAAAATGAAGTTACAAGTAAATGGAAAAAATATTCTGTGCTCATGTATTGGAAGAATTATTATACTAAAAGCAATGGAATTTAATGAACAAAATGAGCAACAAGCAAAATATAGACAGACTCATGCATAGCAGGCTGAATGCTGTCAGGGGTGGAGGTTGGGATGGTGGATGGTGGAGGGATTGAGCAAAAAAGGAAAAACTCACAGACATGGACAAGAGTGTGGTGATGGCCTGGCGTAGGTGGAGGAAGGTATAGGGGGGATAAATGGTGATGGAAAGAGACTTTGTTTTTGGTGGTGAACACAATACAGTGACAGATGATGTGTTATGAAATTGTGCACCTGAAACTTTTATCATTTTCTTAACCAGTGTCACCCCAATAAATTCAATAAAAAATGAGAAAAAAAACCCAGTCTTTTGGAAATTTCCTAAGGGAAAAATAAAAGCAATGTGATCCGTATCAATGTTCCAATGGCATTTTTCACAGGAAAACCCCAAAATTCATATGGAACCACACACAGAAAGAAAAAAAAATAGCCAAAGCAATCATGAGAAAGTAAGTAAAGCTGGAGGCATCACACACTCTGATTTCAAACTACAGTAAATAAAACACTGGTTTTGTTTGTTTGTTTCGGGGGGTGGCGGGGAATAGATCAATGGAACAGAATAGAGAGCCCAGAAATGAACCCATCCTATCTAATAAAAGAGAAACATGGTAATTGGCGTAGGACCGCTACCCTTCCCATTGGCTAATCAGCAAGATATGCAAATTAACTGCCAGCCAAGATGGCGGCTGGCAGCCAGGCAGCTTGAAACTAACATGAGGCTTGCTTGCTTCAGTGACGGAGGACTCCAACGTTCCCCGCCTGCCACTGCAGGCCTCTGAGCTGGCAGTTTGAAACATAGTTACAAAAATAGAAGCTAAACAAAACCCCAGAAACCAGCTTTCAGCTAGCCAGGATCTCAGACCTGGAGTTGATACAGAGTTTCGATTGTAGAACCTAAACAAACCAGATACCTGCTTTCAGGAGCGGAGGCCTAAGAGCTGGAGCCTCAGAGCTAAAGCTGGCTCAGAATAAAAAAAGAAAAAAAGGAGCAGTTGGGAGCTTCAGTCCCAGCCTGAAAACAGCCCTCAGCCCCTCACCCAGACTAGCCAGGCACCCCAGTGGGGACCCCCACCCTGAAGGGTGTGTGACCAGCTGCAAACAGCCATCATCCCCTCATCCGGGCTGGCCAGGCACCCCAGTGGGGACCCCCACCCTGATCCGGGACACCCTTCAGGGCAAACCAGCCAGCCCCCACTCATGCACCAGGCCTCTATTCTATATAGTAAAAGGGTAATATGCCTCCAAGCACCGGGATCAGCGGAGCCTCGAGGTCTCCCGGCACCGGGATCAGCATGACAGGGGGCAGCGCCCAAACCCCCTGATCGGCCCTGCTCTGTGCGTGACGGGGTGGCTCTGCAACCTCTCCATCGACCTTAAGTGTGACAGGGGGCGGTGCCCCAATTCCCCAATCAGCCCTGCTCTGAGCCTGACCAGGGGTTGCACCTAGGGATTAGGCCTGCCCTCTGCCACCCGGGAGCAGGCCTAAGCCAGTAGGTCGTTATCTCCCGAGGGGTCCCAGACTGCGAGAGGGCACAGGCCGGGCTGAGAGACTCCCCCCACCCCCGCCGAGTGCACAAATTTTTGTGCACCGGGCCTCTAGTGTATATATAATCAACTAATTTTTGACAAAGAAGCCAAGAACATACAATGTGGGAAAGGATAGTCTCTTCAATAAATGGTGCTGGGATAACTAGAAAAACAAATGCAAAAGAATGAAACTGGAGCCCTGGCTGGTTTGGCTCAGTGGATAGAGCGTCGGCCTACGGAATGAAGGGTCCTGAGTTCGATTCCAATCAAGGGCACATGCCTGGGGTTGCAGGCTCGATCCCCAGTGGGGGGCATGCAGGAGGCAGCTGATCAATGATTCTCTCTCATCATTGATGTTTCTATCTCCCTCTCCCTTCCTCTGAAATCAATAAAAATATATTTTTTTAAAAAGATGAAACTGGATCCCAATTTTATACCATACACAAAAATCAATTCAAAATTGATTAAAGACTTGAACATATGACCTGAGACCATAAAATTAGAAAAAAAACACAGAGGTAAAACACATTGGTCTTGGCAACAATTCTTTTTGTAATTGACACCAAAAGCAAAGGCAGCAAAAGCAGAAATAAACAAGTGGGACTATATCAACCCAAAAAGCTAATGCACAGCAAAGGAAAGCATTAAAAAAAAAAAAATGAAAATGCAACCCATCAAATGGGGAAAAATATTTGCAAATCATATATCTGAGAAGGGTTAATAACCAAAACATATAAAGGATTCATACAATTCAGCTGTAAAAACTCCAAACAATCTATGTACCCTGTCCATCTTCCAAGGTTTATCCTTCATGAAGCCTTATCCTCTTCATCCTCTGCCAACTTCCTAAATTCATATGCAAGGTCCCCCTTTTCAGAAACCTTAAAAAGGTAGCTGGTATCCCTCAAGGAATTAAAGATCACGAAAAGGCAACCTACAGAATGAGAGGAAGTACTTGCAAATCATATGTTTGACAGGCGGTTAATATCCAAAAAAATATAAAGATATAAAACTCATCAGGAAAAAACACACACAATCCGATTGAAAAAGTGGGCACAGGATCGAATGAATATTTTTCCAAAGTAGACATAACAAATGGCCAACAGGTTCATGAAAAGGTGCTCAACATCACTAATCATCAGGGAAATGCCAACCAAAACCACACACAATAAGATGTCATCTCAAACCTTATTGTGAGGAAGGCCTGGGGTGGAGAGGGTCAAAAAAGCGGCGACTGTAATACTTTCAACAATAAAGTTAAAAATAATGGCTGTCATAAAAAAGACAAGAGATAAGTATTCATGAAAATGTGGAGATACGAGAACCTTTGCGCACTCTTGGTAGATAACATAAATTGACGCAGCCACTATAGAAAACATGATAGTTCCTCAAAAAATACAATTTGCAAGAATTTTCTCTCTTCCTGTTGTATACTTTAAATTAATAAAATATTAAATGTCAATTATATCTCAAACAGAAAAAAAAGAACATTATCCTCACTAATTGTTTGATCCACTCAGAAAGTTTGTTAATTATGTTACAGTAGACCCCCTTATCCATGTGGATACATTCCAAGACCTCCACTGATGTCTGAAACTGTGGATAGTACCAAACACTATTGTTTCTTCCTATAAATATATACACTTTACATCCTCTCTTTGGAATATCTAAAATACCAGCATCACTACCCTTGCACTTTCAGGCCATTATTAAGTAAAATAAAAGTTACTTGAACACAAGCACTGAGATACCACAACAGTGGCTCGGATAACCAAGCTGGCCACTAAGTAACTAAAGAGAGGAGAGCCATATACAGTGTGGATACGCTGGACAAACGGATGATTCCAGTCCTGGGCAGATGCAACGGGTCAGAGAGTTCATCACACTATGCAGAATAGTGTGCACTTTTAAATTTATAAATTGCTTATTTCTGGAATTTTCCATGTAATATGTTCAATTGTGGCTGACCATGAGTAACAGACAGCAAAAGGCAAAATTTGGATAAGAGGGGAATTACTGTAATTCATATCTATGCTACTCTTGCTAATTTTTATCTATATCAATACTAGAAGTATGTTAAAGTCCCTAGAAAAACCTCTGGCAAGACAAATCAAGAGCAGAAGACATTTTGAAAGCTTAAGACAAATGAGAAAGTTTCTTTAAAAAAATTTTTTTAAATATATACACATTTTTCTTCAGTCACAATCAGATGCCAGTTCAATTCCCAGTCAGAGCACATGCTGGGGTTTGGCTCAGTCCCTACTGGGGAGGGTGCAGAAGGCAGCCAATTGATGTTTCCCTCTCACATAGATATGTCTCTCTCTAAAAATCAATGAAGATATTTTTTTAATCTTCCCACAAATATATTAGATAACATGAGTAGTTATAAGGATGTATTTTTATGGAGATCAGGAAAAAGGTCAGGGCTAATACATGTCAATATGATATCAGAAAATATGTAAAATAGAAAAACAACTAAGATACAAAATGTAATAAATAAATAATAATAATACCTTATAATATGTATATCAACAAAAGCTACTGTTATTTTTAATGGCCTATCTGGCAACTTGCCCAGCCTTGGCTGCTCACATGCTGACCAGCCATGACTATTCTTTGAGGCAAAGGTTGCCCCCATCAGACCAATTATAGCCCCCTACTGCTCACTCTTCAGGAAGGAAGAACACCTTTGTAGGTGGCATTTATGGAAATGAGCAAATCACAATATAGAAAATAAAGAAATGGAATAGAAACACATTTGTGAAGTTTTGGGGTGTGAAAGAACTATTTCATAAATGTCTAGATTTTCAAAGTTTTCCTCTCCATTTTTAATAGAGCTCTTTCTTAAGTACCATTTTTGGGATGCTGGATGAGGTTTAGTGGCTGAACTAGCTGCACAATGGGAGCTCAAGCCTCTTTCTACGTGTAAATATCTCTTCCTTCAGGAGCAGCACTGCAAAAAATAACCTCCCTGAACTGCTTGACAAACTTCAAAAGGAACTTCAACCACTCACCTGGATACAAGCCAGAGGCTCATTTGTCCAAATCGAATATCCACCAACTAAATAGATTCTCTCATTATGGACAGCAACTCCAGACTCATTTTGGCCTAAAGTAAAGAGAATTGAATAAAAATTTTTTTAAAAAAATCCCTTTCCTTGCATGTTTTAATGAACCCTTTTGCCACTGAGAGATACAATTTGCCCTGTGGTGGACTTGCATACTCCACAGGATTTCTGCAGCAACGAATCGCTGCTTCCCACTACTCAGAGGGAGAAATTAAGCACCATTTCTCAGCAAATGGATGTGTGTCAGATCAGAACCAGGTCATAACACTGGTTAGCCAAGTTAGTAAAAACAGCATAAAATACAGTAATAATAAGCCATTGAGAGTTTTATATTGTCACATGCCATACATTTATAGTAGCGGGAAAAAAGGTGTATTTTAGAAATGCAAAAAACCTCTTGTACTACGAATGCTTTTAAGGCAAATACTTACATTTGTAAAGTAACAGCTGCAACCCCAAAGCTGCAACCCCAAGAAACCAATAAAACAGAGCCATGCCCCTAGCGTGCCCCAAAATGAAGACAAATGACAAAAAGACAAAGTTACTACCCTCCCTCTCTTTACATACACAACAGCTTTAAGACTATATTAAAGTTCTTGAGCTGAGACCAGCCTGGATAGTCCCTAGATACTGACATGCCAAAATGATGAAAGGTCCCTTCCCCATTTAAAAAAGAAGACAGAATAACTCACTACCACATATTCTTCCCTTGAGGCCATCAAAGAGTGAGACAGTCTCTTTTTATTGATGGGCTGACACAGGATTGACTCGGGTAATAAATAAGCTGGATCCTATAGCAGACAGATCCAGGGACCGAGGGCTCAGGCACCTACCTCTACAGCAACTTACACCAGAATTAAGTACTTGTAGGTGGGCCTTAAAAATCAAAACAAAAACAGCAGCTCAGTGCAAAACACTTGAACCTCTCCCACTGGCTATGCCTTCAATGGTGTTTCCCCAGCACCAGCAGGTGGCTGAGGGCCCACTCAGCATGTTAAATCGTCTCCAAGCACTAGTCTGCCCACCATTCTGAGTCTGTGATTTTCCTATTAGCAGAGCAGCCTGGAAGGGATCCGGTCACTGGTGGTTGTTATTGACAAAGCTGACAAGGGAGAAATAGTGTTCAACTCCATAAAGAAATGTCAGGGGTAAGCTGTTCACCGCTTCCCTTTCATTCCCTTTCGGGATAAGGATGGCCCATCCCTAGTGCTGCCCTGTGGGAAGGCTGGGATGGCGGTGTGTGCCCAGAAATGCTGTCACACCCCTATGCTCAGAACTGCTCAAAGCTTTAATCTTTAGGAGAAAACAGCCAGAAACAATATTCAACAGTGACAAAAAAATGAAAACCATTCTCCTGTACTTACAAGAAATGACGACTCATGCAGAGACTCCCAACTTGCAACTGTGCCCTCCAAGCTTTCCTGACTTCTCTCCTCGCTCTGACACCAGAGTGCATTGATGCAGATGGTCACTCCAACTCCAGCCATCCCGCCTCTCACTAAATTACTCCTACCCAGAAGGTCTCCTCAGTGTCTCATTGTGGGGTAGGAACTGATGACATTGGGAAGGATGTACCCCTGACCATTAATGCCTGTTTTGTTTTGACATGCACAGCATATGAAATACAAAATGCATTACAGAGGTAGTGTAAACGCAAAATAAATAAGTAAATAAATAAATAAAATAAAAAGAAATGACAACTAAAAGTAATGAGAAGTAAAAAATGATTTGCTTCTGTAAAGAGTCATTAACTCTTTCCGCACCTGGTTCCTCCTAGTTGTATTCAAGTTCCTATGTTAATATATTGACAGTAATGGACTTGACATGCCTCTTAGTCACATGAGGGCACACACAAAGGTCAAACTAGATGCTCAGCCACCTGATGGGGTAAAGTTATGTGAGATAAAGAATGTGCACCTTTCTAGTTAATAAAAGCAAGTTGTTCTGTTGTCGTGTACTCAGTATTTAGAGAGGAAGCTTCTTGAATCCTAGCTTTTCCTGATTTACTTAACAAAGGTACTTGCCAGTCAACAGGTTGAAATTACAGCGCGTCCATTGGTCGGTGTCTATGTTGTAGGAATCTATATGCCGCACCAGGATCCGGTCGTTATTGTAGTCCAGGTCATTGCCTCCAAGGACGTAGAGCTTCCTATGGACTGCAGCCATGGAGTGGTAGACCCTTCTCTGCAGCATGGGGCTGCGGCTTATCCACTTGTTCTGGAAAAAGAAATTCAGGTGAATTCTGTTAATAGCAGAGCGTCATGGCAGAGAACAGCTGTGCCTCGTTAGTAGTGGGGACCTAATGTTTGTCAGTCACCTTCTGTTTAAATGTTGTTCATATACTTTGAAAGGAATGGGCTTCTTCCCCGAGAACAAGGGCAGAAATACCCACATATTCAAGCCCTATTTTTCAACTTACATAAGGCATTACCTCTTGTTCGGGTGCATTTCATAGGGCATTTCGCATTTGTAAAGGAAGCATATGAAAATATAGAAATTGAGAGAATTTACTTATGCAAATTAAGAGTGAAAGTGCATGGCTAGGTATACTGACTAAGGTGGTGTGATGATTAAGAAACAGGCTCTGGACTTTGAATACCTGACTTCATAACCTGTGTGTAACCTTGAACAATTTACTTGACCTCTCTGTGCCTGTTTCCTCATTTGCAAAAAACAGCAGCTCAATGCAAAACACCTGAACCTCTACCATTGGTTATGCCCTCGATGGTGCCTCCCCATTGGGGTAATAATAGCCACCTGCCAAGACTGTTGTGTAGGTTAAATGAGCTAATACACATAAAGCATTTAGAACAGTGGTTTTCAACCTTGGCTGCACATTAGAATCACCTGGGAATCTTTTTAAAATCCTGATTTCTGGGCCTCATCCTCCAGAAATTCTATTTCTTTGTTACTAATGTTGTGGCCCCACCCCATAACAAAGGAACAGAATTTCCGGAGGATGAGGCCCAGAAATCAGGATTTTAAAAAGATTCCCAGGTGATTCTAATGTGCAGCCAAGGTTGAGAACCACTGATTTAGAACAATGCCTCACACATAATAAATGTCCAATAAATATACACTTTTTAAAAAGTATTGTGTTAATCACTGACTATCCCCAGACCCTACCTAAGCTAGAATGAGGGTGGCTTTGCTGTTCTACTAGGATTAACCTCTTGAGATCAATGGAAGAGCTAAGATTTGGTTCAGCAATGGATTCCTTCATTGCCTTTTATCAGCCCCCTTTAATGTATTTACAATCACATTTTCTGTCAAGCTGAGAAAAGTTATTTCTAGGCATTTATTGGTTTTTGTAGAATGCCAAGTTTTATATGATAATTTTAGGCAATATTTGGTTCTGGGTTACTCTTAATAATACGAACAGTATGCTCAACACCTCTTACAATAAGGCTCCTATTTAAAATATAATGTAAAATTAGATAAAAATAAAATATGACTAATTTTATATCTCAACTAAGTAATGGACAGGTAAGTAAACATAACCATTTTCTTTCTACATAAACACAAAACATACAAGAATAACCCAGGTTCCTTTTTGCCAAGAAAAAATTGGATTTTGACCAGAAAAAAAATCTTATGATGTTTAGAATACATAGAATTTCAATAGTTCACAAAGCTGTAAAGGAAGAAGAAAATGTTTTGTATAAATATTGGGTATTAACTAAAGGTATATCTATTAGCTCATTTCTAATTTCTCTTTTAAAGATACACTCAAAAAATGAAAGTGGTTTGTACAATTTGAAAGGTTTGCATTTATCTGTTCCTCCTTTTTTGTTGTTTTTCATCATCATCTGATATTTTTCCATTCATTTTTTAGGGAGAGCGGAAGAGAGAGGGAAAGACAGAGAGAAACATGTCGATTGGTTGCCTCTTGCATGAGCCCTGACCAGGACCCAGGCCAGGGAGGAGCCTGCAACCAAGGTACATGCCCTTGACTGGAATTGAACCTGGGACCCTTTGGTCTGCAGGCCAATGTTCTATCTGCTGAGCCAAACCGGCTAGGGCTGCTTCTCCTTTTTAAACATGTCATACTAAGAATCTCCTTCCAATTAAATGTCATCTTTAATAAAATAGTCAAACCTTTCTTTCAGGTATTTCGCTAAGAAATATCTTTAATACATTACATGGGAGTGGATTTACCTCAAAACTCTGATGACACTTTTCTTAGGATGCTTTCTATGAGGCAACCCTGAATAATATTAGAAATTGGTGTCTGCATTAGCAGTCCGGTCCCCTGCCATAGGACTGTGGACCCCATCTGGTTTGCAAAGCCTGCCTGCATCCCCTGATTACATCTTTAGCCTCCTTCACTGCCGTGCCTGCCAGGTGAGCCGACAACCGCTGCAAAGGCAAGGAAACAGAGAGGCCTGGTGGGGTCATTCCTAATAAGCTAGCACGTGAATACTAATCAGTGGTGGGGAAGCAGAGGTCACCCCAGCCTGCCTGTTGGCAGGTAGCGATGTGCTCTGTGGCAGATGGCGGGCATTATCGACTCCCCACAAAGGCCTCGCAGTGAAATAAGCACCGGGGCTGGATGATAGAGTTATTGAGATTCTGAGCAAGAGGCAAGCAGATGTGATGTTTGCCAGAACCCACTGTAAACAATATGCCAGCAGAATTTTTAAAAAGAGCATGTGTGTACAAACATGAGACAGAAGTCATTTGAGAAACGTTAACACCTTCTTCCTCTTTAACCACATGTGCACTGAACTCAAGCAACTGCAATTAATGATCCCTCTGGAGACATCTGGCCCATGGACATGTGGTCTCTGAAATCTACAGCTTCTAATGACATCAGGAAACACACTTGCAAAGACAGAAATACCTTCGTTAAATTCAGAATTAAGTAATTTTAAAATAAAAAGATTCCAAATAGAATGAGGTCACTTTGGACATACATTTGGTGGCTAATCCCAAATTGGACAGCCAATGCCAACCTGTTGTTTCATGTTCCAGTATTTCCAGCAGACAAATATGAAATCCCCAGGTTAAATCATTATGAATATTGTCATAATCATGAAAAAATTGACATGACCAAAATCATAGAAATAGCAAATTTCAGCCCATATTTGCTAAAGTCATAGATATTTAGGTAGAAGAAAAGAGAATAAAAATAGTTCTTTGGGGGGGAGGGGAGATGTTATGTGTGCATGAGAAGTGGCAGAAGGAGGGATAGGAGCCATCATAATGCTTTCAGTCCAGGCCCCAGTTATCAGATGAAAAACAAACTCTTCAGCTACTTCTACTTTGGATGTGTCCTAGACCCTGTTCTAGGACATTTTGGCTATCCTGAGTTAAATAAAAGTCATTATTTTATTTTGGAATAATGAAACCATAAGCAAGTCCACCCCCATCGCCCATGACATGCTTTCTAAAAGGACATAGCAACAGGACAATTCCAATCCTTTCTTTGGATGCCTCTGAATATGAACAGCTACTTGAGATAATGGAAATATCTTCCTCTTTTTTCTACATTGGGCAAAACTCTGAAAGAGTTAAGCATGTTGTATAGAATAAAACTGAAGGAGCTAAAACTTTATGAGAAAAGAGAAAAAAAAGAAGCAAAAAGCAGTTTATCCAGATGCTTCCTTTTCTTTCTAGGTTTAAGATGCATGTGTGTGTGTGTGCGTGTGTGCGTGTGTGTGTGTGTGTGTGTAGACTTGGCATTCCAACTACTAATTACTGTAGACATCTTTTAAAATTCATTTTAATTAAGGTAATGAGCTCTTCTTATAGGATTCTTACCTGGTTAGGTTCATACACCATTAGTCTATTCTGATACTGTGCGGTGTTAGTTACTCCACCTGTATGTAATGGATTAACACGTGTTAGAGCTTTCATGAATAAGAGATAGGATATTCCAACATAAGAATGAGATACAATTAAAGAAAAATTAGCTACTGTTGAGAATTTGTTTGTATACCCTTGTGGTGAACCTATGCCATAATTAAGAAGCTTATTTTGAAGCCGTTTCATTTTCAAGAAACATTTCAGAAGCAATCCAGTTGAGAGCAAGCAACAAGTATGCAGAGATTAGCAAGAGATCCCCAATTCTGGCAAGCTGCTCAACATGGCCAGAATGAGGGGAAATGAATAGAGAGGGAGGGGGAGTGCATACAGCACACAGACAAATCTCTGCAGTTTATGCCAGGAACATAGTTCTATAGAAAATTCTCGTCTTTAGCTAAATTGACAGTTTTAATCTCTAGTCTTCTATATACTAACACAGTGATATCCTGATAGCTCTTTAGAACAGTGGTTCTCAACCTTCTGGCCCTTTAAATACAGTTTCTCATTTTGTGACGCAACCATAAAATTATTTTCGTTGCTACTTCATAACTGTAATGTTGCTACTGTTATGAATCGTAATGTAAATATCTGATATGCAGGTTGGTCTTAGGCGACCCCTGTGAAAGGGTCGTTCGACCGCCAAAGGGGTCGCGACCCACAGGTTGAGAACCACTGCTTTAGAAGAACCATATCTAAGAAAAGACATTACTTATAAAAAGAAATCTAGCTGTGGTCAGTGTGGCTCAGTTGCTTGAGTGTTGCCCCATGTATCAAGAGGTCACTGGTTCAATCACCATCAGGGCACATGCCCTCGTTGCAGGCTGGATCCCCAGTAGGGGGCATGCAGGAGGCAGCTGATCAATGTTTCTCTCTCTCTCTCTTCCTCTTTCTCTCAAATCAATAAAAACATATTTTAAAAAAGAAATCTAGAACCAATGCTATCCAATAGAATATAACACGACTCACAAATGTGAGTCACATATGCAATTTTAACTATTCTAGTAGCCACATTAAAAGTAAAAACAGTGAAATTAAACCAAATATAAATTTCATTTCACTAAAAATAGCCAAAATATTATCTTTTCAACATGATATCAATGTAAAAAATATTGAGATTTTTTTTTCATATTGTCTTCAAAATCCAGTGTATAGTTGACATAGCATATCTCAGTCCAGATTAGCCACATTTCAAGCGCTCAGTAAACTACAAGTGGCTAATGTACATACTGGACAGCATAGTGCTAGAGCATAGTTGCTGCTGTCCTCAACTCTTTTAAAGCCCTCTTGACAACCGCTTAGATCCAAAACAACCTGAAACCTTCTGCTTAATCAAGAACAACTAAAAAAATCATTACACCTTTAGCCAAATTTCCCATACTTCTTTTCATGTTTGTGGTATACATCGAGCCCAATAAAACACAGAAATACTTGATTCTACTTTAATTTTTACCATTAAATGGAAAAGCTAAAAAATAAAGCAGCAAAAAGAAAATAATATGATATAAATGTTAGGCAATAACAGAAATATAAGTACCTCTCCCCTCCAATTCTGTCTTTAAAAATATTGTCTCACACATATTACTAGACACTTGTATAAAATGAATAACATTCTTATTTTAATAAGTATCACAAAGATTAGCAGCTACTTTTGCAATAAATATCTAAAATTGAAGCAGACCAAAAAGTTTCCTATTGAATTTTTTTTTGAAAGATCCAGAGACATTGGGGGCATGAAACAGATAGGGAAGTGGGGAGAAGGGCAGGAAGAGATTAACCAAACAATTTATATGCATATATGCATAAACCATGGACACATATAATAGTGTGGTAAAGGTCTGGAGGGAGGGGCGGGGGGAGCAGGAGGAAAGGGGTCAATGGGGGAAAAAAGGGGACATCTGTAATACTTTCAGCAATAAAGATAATTTTTTTTTAATGAGTACTGTTACAATACTGTCCAAGACAGCCTTATTCCTGTCAGCTTGACTATACACAGGCTTCTTCCTGCCTCTAGGCCCCTAACTTCCCTTTTCATAGAGCACTTACTTTAGAAAACTTTTAATTATAAATTCGTTCTGGGACTCTGTAAGAGATAAATCATTTAGGAAGCTTCTTGCAAGTTTTAGACTGAGGAATATCTTCCTCCAAGACCTGGAGCTATCCCACTGAAATGTAATCCCCAAGCAGACCATGCCCCTATCTCCCATTTTCTATGGAGGGGAGGAGCCTAACTTCGGTGGGTGCCAATCAGCAAACACAAATGTCCCAAACAGAGAAAAACATTTACCAACTCAGGGATAACTGAATGTGCGCAACAGTTCACATTGATCAACCTTCCTCCAAAGCCCTTCGGTACTTTTCCACTAGTTCACCCCTGGTCTTAAAAACCCTCTTGCAGCTGAAACCGGTTTGGCTCAGTGGATAGCGTCAGCCTGTGGACTGAAAGGTCCCAGGTTCAATTCCGGTCAAGGGCATGTACCTGGGTTGCGGGCACATCCCCAGTAGGAGATGTGCAGGAGGCAGCTGATCGATGTTTCTAACTCTCTGTCTCTCTCCCTTCCTCTCTGTAAACAAATCAATAAAATATATTTTTTTAAAAAACAAAAACCCTCTTGCCTCTTTTTTTCAGAGGAGTTGATTTCGGACTGCTTTCTGGTCTCTCTCCACTAGTGCCATAGTCTTGAATAAAGTCTTCCTTGTCTGTTTTACTTTGTCCATTATCACTTTTGCTTTGACAGTTCAGATACTTTAAATAGGTCACCTCCATCAACTCCATGGGCAGGTGTCAAGTCAACCAGAATGCAGAGGGTTAGTGCATAGCCCTCAACTGAGCTGAAATAGTCAATTAATACTAATGGATACAGGAAGGGGAGGGAACCTGTCCAGGTCAGTCATTACTCTCTCATTCAGCTCTGGTAAGGAGATTATATCTTTCATGTAATTGACCATGGCTATTATTAACTGGAGGGCTTTTTATTTTTGTAATTCTCTCTGAAGCTTGCAACCACTTTTTAAGCTTAATGAAAGATTTGTCCAAGGAGGAAATGCAAATAACAGAGAGAAATGAGCTTCCTGCCCTCAAAAAAAGTCTTTTTTGTGTTTCTCATTGAATGTCTCATTTTAAAAATGAAAAGAAAACACACTTGAGAAAGCTGAGGCTCAAGTGCCTACATGGAGTGAAAATGTATCTCAAAATAAATACAGCGGTATGTTTACTTTTCCCTCCCAACCTTCCTTTTCTTATCTGATTAAAAACTGAATGTGCTATAATTCTTTCTCCACAAGAATAACCAAACCTATTGAGACCTCACAAGTCTTCAGTATTAAAATGATTGCCAAGTTTGGATCTGGGCCATAACCGCCAGATTAATAGCCAGCTCACCTATAATCATTTCTCCAAATGAGAGGGAACAGAGGGTAAAGCTCCCACCCACTATTTCAAAACTCTGATGGCTTACCTACTTGTTTTAGAAATATGGGACAGAATTAATATCTACTGCAGTAAACTATCTGTTTATGACACTATTTGAAAATATTTACACTACTATATGTACCAAACTCTGCCCATTATAGATTAAATGCACCACCAGTGGATTAGAATGTAGCTATTACATCCTCTCTCCCAAGCAGGGCACACAGTTTATCTTTACCCTCTTCAGAATTATTATTTACTGTCTTCCACAGCTGCATCAGCTGCATTAAAATCTGCACTCAGTAATTAGATTCCTTACCCTCACATACAAATTCTCACTCACATGACAATGTTTAGAAATGAGATACTGGGTTACTAGTGGGGAGTAGAGACAGAAGTCCTAGTTAGTTATTTGGTTGATTACTTCTAGAATGTTAAACCACAGGAGGTGCCTAAAAAACCTAGTGCTGTAACTTTTGCCAAGTCAGGATTGCCAGGGAAAACCTTAGAAATTGGTTTTATTGTGTTTCCTTTTGAAATAATTTACAAATGAGCACATAAATAGAAACTGCTTCTCACTACAAAACAAGTTTTTTAAAAAGCCCCCAAGTTCTCCGTCCACCTGTCTCTGGCAGTGTTACTCATCGGCAGAGCTTGGTCATTACATTCCCTTCACATAACACTCTTCACTTTCAGATTCATCTGCTGAAATGAGATGCTAAGGATTTGCATACAGATTTGACTATACAAAAATAGATATGGAATTAATAACAGTCGCTATATGTTTTAATTTCTCCCAGATGGGGTACCCTTGCCTGCAGCGGTGTTCCTGGCTTTGAAAGTCATCAAGCTGATTTGTCTGCTCTGGGTTATGATGCCACATGCTGCTCCACTGTCCCCTGCAATCAAAGGCTTGCAAAGATAGATTCCAGGCCATCGAGTATATTTTATAGATTGGCAGTTTTGATCTCCCTCCCCCACCCCAGGGGGGAATAATCTGCATCTTAACAGCTTTCTATAGATACATCTGTCATTAAATATGCCATTTCGTATCAGCATCCATTTTTAAAGCCAAGTTTTCCCTAACTTTGAAGTGCCACGGACAAAGTGAAGACTTTCCACCAAAATTGAAAATGAACGACCCTGTCTTATACTTTTTTGCACTGTGACTTAAAGATATACAGCAGGTTCCCCCAAAGTCAAATAAGTCTTTAAAAACTGCCAGAAGGAATGAAAAGTTACCACCATGCTACCAGCAGTGAGCAATGCTTTCTATCATCAAGACAAGAGGAAAGCATTTTTCTTAAGCTTCCCTGTTCACCTCCCTACAAAGTGTTGTGACAAATGGATGAATGCGTACCGGAGAGAGGATGACAGGTGACTGCCAAACAAGCAATCTTTGTCTGCACTACTGAGAATTCACCGACTTCCAAAACCCACTCTGTTCAAGAGCAGCAACTGGTCAATGCTAGTGGAGTCTATAAAATTGTGTGTTTAGAAAAAACAACTTTCAATATTTGGTGATCAAGGTAGGTCAAGTCTGGGAGCTCTGCTAATTTTTTTTCAAGGACAGAAAATACCTCTGTTGACAGAGTCCCACACTAG